CTCATTTTCAGAAAAATGAGATTGAAAAGTTGGTTCGAGAGATGCTTGCAGCGGGGATCATACAACCAAGCAACAGCCCGTTTTCTAACCCGGTGCTTCTCGTTAAAAAAAAATGGTAGTTGGCGTTTTTGTGTTGATTACCCCGCGCTCAACAAAGCTACAGTTCCGGATAAGTTTCCCATACCGGTGATTGAAGAGTTATTGGATGAATTGTTTAAAGCTAGTATCTTTACCAAATTGGATTTGAAATCGGGATATCACCAAATTCGGATGTGCGTGGAGGATATTCCTAAGACAGCTTTCCGCACTCATGAGGGCCATTACAAATTTTTGGTTATGCCTTTTGGGCTAACTAATGCTCCGGCCACTTTCCAATCTTTGATGAATGAGGTACTAAAACCTTTTTTGCGAAAGTTTGTTTTAGTTTTTTTTGATGATATCTTGATATACAGTAAATCATTGGAGGAACATATGGGTCATTTGGAAGTGGTTTTGACCGCCTTAGAAGACAACCAATTATATGCCAACCACAAAAAATGTACTTTTGCCCAAAGTCAATTGGAGTATTTGGGTCACATTGTTTCGTGTGATGGGGTTTCGGCCGATTCCAACAAGATACAAGCTATGTTGGATTGGCCTACTCCCCGTTCTATTAAGGAGTTGCGTGGTTTTTTGGGCTTAACCGGTTATTATCGGCGTTTTGTAACGGGGTATGGTCATCTTTCTTGGCCATTGACACAACAACTGAAGAAAGACAGTTTTAATTGGACTGAAGAGGCTGAGTCGGCCTTCCGGAGATTGAAACAGGCCATGACTACAGTTCCGATTCTAGCATTGCCAGATTTTTCTCAACCATTTGTGGTAGAATCTGATGCTTCGGGTTTTGGGATTGGTGCGGTTTTAATGCAACAACAGCGGCCTATCGCTTACTTTAGTTAGGTTTTGTCTCCTCGGGCTAGGGCTAAGTCCGCTTACGAGCGCGAATTGATGGCTGTGGTGCTGGCGATCCAGAAATGGCGTCATTATCTCCTGGGGCGGCATTTCATTGCCCGCACAGATCAAACAAGTTTAAAGTTTTTGTTGGAGCAGCGGTTAGTGGGAGAGGAGCACCAGAAGTGGTTATGCAAACTGTTGGGTTACGACTTTGAGATTCAATACAAGCCAGGGTCCGAGAACCGCGTGGTTGATGCGTTATCCAGGCGGACTTCTGGATTGGAGTTGATGCACTTTGCCACTTCCGCGCTGTATGATGGAGCTGAAATTCGACAGCAACTTTTGGGTGATCCGAAATTAGCTAGAATTCGGAAGGAGTTGCTGCACAATCCGCAAAGGGTGAAAGGGTTCTCTTTATGCAATGACATGTTGCTTTGCAAGGGTCGGGTGGTTCTGTCTCAGCTATCTCCTCTCATACCTGTCCTTTTGAACGAGTTCCATGGCAGTAAGGTGGGAGGACATTCGGGAGTCCTAAAGATGTTTAAACGTTTGTCTTCTGAGTTCTTTTGGTATGGCATGAAGCGGGATGTAGTCTCTTTTGTGGCAGCCTGTCAAGTATGTCAACAAAACAAGGCGTCGACTTTGTCTCCTGGGGGGTTGTTGCAGCCATTGCCACTGCCGAACCAGGTCTGGGATGAGATTTCGATGGATTTTGTGGAAGGTTTACCAAAGTCAGCGGGAAACGACTCAAGTTTAGTGGTCGTAGATCGGTTGAGTAAGTATGCACACTTTTTGGGTATTCACCATCCTTTTTCTGCAAAGTCGGTGGCTACCCTTTTTATTAAAGAGGTGGTGCGACTCCACGGGTTCCCACAGACTATTGTGTCTGACCGCGACAAAGTTTTCCTCAGCCATTTTTGGAAGGAGCTCTTTAAGTTGCAAGGCACTTTATTACATCATAGTACGGCTTACCATCCTCAAACGGATGGACAAACGGAAGTGGTGAATCGGTGCTTAGAGGCTTATTTAAGCTGTTTTGTTTCCGGGAAACCTACTCAATGGTTTTCTCATCTAGCATGGGCCGAATATTGGTATAACACAAGCTTCCATGTGTCCGCGGGAATGACTCCTTTCAGGGCATTATATGGTCGCGACCCTCCTAAATTGCTACATTTTGAGTTGGGTTCCACAGCTAACTCTTTGTTGGAGGAGCAATTGCAAGCGAGGGATGCTATTTTAAAGGAGCTGCAGGGCCACTTGCTTCAGGCGCAGCATTCAATGAAGAGGAACACAGATCTGAAGCGTCGTGATGTCTCGTTTGACGTGGGGGATTTGGTGTTCTTGAAACTTCGGCTCTATCGCCATCGTTCCTTGGCCAAGTTTCCGAATGAAAAGCTTTCACCTCGGTTTTATGGTCCCTATAGGGTCGTGTCGCGCATGGGGGCAGTGGCGTACCGGTTGCAATTGCCTACAGCGGCCAAGATTCATCCGGTCTTCCATGTGTCGCAGCTTAAGAAAGCCATTGGCTTGCCTATTCCGGCTCAGGAGGTTCCGCCCGCTCTGGCTGCTGACATGGAGTTACGCGTGGAGCCGGAGAGGTTGTTGGATACTCGTTTTTCTAAGGTTACTAGGCAGCTGGAAGTCTTGCTTCAGTGGCGTCACTTACCGGATTATGAGTCGTCTTGGGAGCTTTTCGATGTCATTCAACAATAGTTTCCTGAATTTCACCTTGAGGACAAGGTGGCTCTTTTGGGGGGCGGAGTAGTTGATAAGCCTCTACTTAGACAAGTTTATGTGAGGAAGGGTCGGGGAAGTGATTAGGGGATTGTTAGTGTATAGGGTCGTATGTGTATAGGCTTACGTGGTTATTGTGTGTGTTAGTATAGGCTTACGAGGTTATTGTGTGTGTTAGCACAGGGGATTATTGATTAGAGTTGAGGGGGGCGGAAATAAATAGGTGGACACGCTGGAATTGGAAGGTAGGCAGAAATTGGAGTCTGTATCGGGAAGTCTTGGCAATAGCTGAGCAGGGGGGAGTTCTGTTGGTTTCTAAGAAACCGTTTGGGTGTAGTTCTTGTTGATAATCAATAAAGATTCATTCTTTCTGTTTTCTTGATTCAATTTCACGCATTAGATACATGTTCTTATCACAAGATTGCTCCCAAAAGGTCAATTTGTTCTTTATAATTCGAAAACACACCTTATATCCTCTAAGATCGGATTCTGTTACATCTATCACTTCAAACTTCCATTCGTTCTACTGCGAGTACTTCTCATACCTGTTAAAATTTAGCGTTTGAGAATCTGAAATGAGAATATTATAAATACCTTTACCACTAATAATGCTTTGTTTACCATCTAGCACTAACTTACATTTTGAATATATCCACTGTAAACAAAGAAGCCTCTTCCCCTCCAGTTCCTGCTTAAACTTTAACGTCAATTGAATGAAAAGCAAGAGTATACATATAAATGGTGCCTTCATTGAGATGTCCATTTCATCAGGTATCATTTACCTGCTCTCACCTCCAAAATGCAGTCCCTCTCATCAGCATCGTCCTTAGGAAGCAGAGACTTTAGCAACAAATCCTGCAATCTTTTCTCCTCTTCCATAGCTTCACCCAATTCCTCTGTTGCCATACTAACCATATCTTTATCTTCAGAACATTCAACCATCAATGACTTCAAACCATTGATCTCCTGCAAAGAGAAAAAAGAGACACCAGAATACATCCTTCAGCATTAACCAATGAAGAGAAGCAATGGAAGCATGCAATTAATGAATTATCTAACAGATGCAAGGTATAAATTTTTAATAGTTTATACTGACTAATCACAATCCAAGAGTACCTTGAGCTGAAACTCCGTAAGGAGAAACAAGAAATGTGTTATTTACGTGCTTCGCCTAATAATAACAGAACAAAGTGTGGAAAAAAGATTCAATCAACAGCCTAATACCGGCAGTCTCATTTAGGAACTTATTGGCTACAATTTAAAAAGATTATGGATGCTTCACGGCTACACCTAAAACAACAAATAAGACAAGGCACCACGATACCAATTTAAACATGTGTGGCAAAATAAGCAAACGTTAGCACTTGTCACTAAATAAACCATTCACAAGTTAAAACTGCAAAGAATTTCATTAATCAAAGCAAGAAATTCATTATCACAACAAAGATTTAGCAAGGGACCCAATTAACAAAACGAATCCAAAAGTACATGAACAAAGAGTAGTACAGAGGGATCTTAAAAAACAATAAAGATAAAAGTCTCTAAAGAAACTTAACAAATAAATAGCAGTCATATGCAACATATAAAGCACAAATCCAAAGACCAAAAAAAAAAGGGGGAAAAAAAAAGGTTTCGTGTGATGATAAAGCTTACCTTAGCCACACTCCTATTTTCACGAGTCCAGATTCCAAAGATCATATATACATCTCTATGGGTGTATTTTATGGACGTGACCCAAACATGAATTACTCACTTTCTTCAATCCAATGACCAAAAAGATAAAAACAACACATAAGGTTGTATAAGACAGTTCATCAACAACACTTCTGTTAAAGGATGTATAAGAAAGTCCAAAGACCTTTAGCTTCAAAGCTCAACAATATAAAAGAGTAACCAAAACGTCTTAAAATCCCTAACTTTATAATTGGTTTTATCTTGATTGTTATGCTTGTACATAGAAGACCTTACTAAGGGAGAAAATTCAATATTATGAATGGAACAATCAACAGAATTTAACTCCAAATGAGCTATGGATGCATAATATTAGCCCAAAAGCAAGAATGGCATAATATTATCACCATTTTTTTATCAACTTAAGCAAAACATAAGAATAGAAAACTTCATTAAACCTGAGGTAAATGACGACTAGCTTCCGTTTCTTGTTCCGGTCCAACAACGGGGACATTATCCTGCCTTCCTCCTGCCGTGGAAGGACTTTAGCCAGCAGTCTAACCATTCGTCTCCAAAATTTAGAGCAACTACAGTTTAGAGTAAACAAAAATAACACCCAAAATGGATGAGGTCATAATTCTCATCAAATAATGTACTTATAAAAACTCACCCAACACAATAAACGCTCTGAAAATCAAAATGACCCTCTCGAAGCACATTATGCAGTAGCTGTTGCTCCCTTGCTCCTCGGAGTCTCTTGTGTACCTATTGAAAAACCAATAATCCAAACAATTAGAACCACAATAAACAATTAAAAAAAAACATCACTAAAAACTTATGAAAACAAAACAGAAAAAAGAAATGACATCAAAGTGAATGAAACAAATCATCATACCCTCTCTGAAGCCGCTCTTGAATCTACGAGGGATGTGGCGCAGATACCTCATCCTTCTAGTTCCAGTGGTCTTCCTTCGGATCGCCTTAACACTCCAGTCTCTTAAAAGAACACAGGTAATAACCAAAGAACAAAATTAAGGAAAATAAATAAAAAGGGCAACACTAAGACTTCTATAACCACAATGACTAATAGATTGAAAAACTAAACACTAATCTTGCTCACCTATTAGCACACACCCAATCTTTATGAATCATCCTAACATCATCAATCCACTTCAAAATTAACATAATACTAAATTAATTTTCACATTTGTAACTAAGAAATAAACTTTAGTCTAACATAATTATAATACTAGACAAAACAAAAAAAAGAAAAATCACTTAGTACATAAATCTTGTTCATCACCCTAGAATACTCTCATTTTTCTACAGAACACCGATAAACAACTAATGGATTATTTCATTAATTTCAACCTCGTTCCATGCTGAAATGGTAAACAAACAACAAGAATCACATAATTGGGGGTGAGGGCCGGGGAGATATAAGATTTTCCTGGCAATGTGTGCCTACCCAAGCGTGTGGCATAATTGTGAAATCCAAAAGGCTCATATGTTGTATGACTAAACCAAAAAAGACCATAATAATCCAAATCCTTAAGAGGCAATACAACAAATGTTATTATCAATAGCCTATCAATAGCTTACCAAACTTCATCACCCTATTATCAATAGTGGTGTAATACCATCTTTTCTTGATAAACATAGAGAGATTTAGGACGTTCCCAATCCAAATTTTTGTTCACACCCGAAAGATACATAAAAATGTGTACCTACATAGACTTTTGAGCACTTATTCATTATTTTTCCCTTCTAATTAACTAGTTAACAAATTAATCCAAGCATTATTATTGATATGAAGATTAATTATTGATAATATTATCAAGATAAACATGGTTCTTGTTTTAAGACAGAAAAAAAAAAAAGCCCAAAGAAATAGAGGGTGGGTGCGGAGTTGTCAAGTTGGAGAGTAGAATGGAAATAGAGGATGATGAACGCAAAACCAATAGATCATGATAATCAAATACACAACTATTGATAATGATGATGAACACAAAAACAACTACGTTTCACGGTTTCAAGAATCCCTGAAATTCAAGGCATAAAGCAGCGTGCAGAAACATAAGTTACGGCTCAAGAAGCCTAGAAATTCAAGGCATACCTGAATCAAGACGATTTCACGAGAAGCAAACTGTGATTCTTGTACAGAGAAACGAATTCTTCTAAAAATCCCAAACCTAAAGTTCACGGTTCAAGAAAACAGCATACAGAATCAAAAGCTAACTACGGTTCACGGTTCAAGAAGCCCAGAAATTCAAGACATAAAACAGCGTACAGAAACAGAAGCTATGGTTTAAGAAGCCCAGAAATTCAAGGCATACCTGAATCAAGACGATTTCACGAGAAGCAAACTGTGATTCTTGTACAGAGAAACGAATTCTTCCAAAAATCCAAAACCTAACGTTCTAATTTGGGGAGTGTTGCGCAATGAGGGAAGAATTCGTCCTTAGGGCTTCGAGTGAATTGCGCATAGAGGGCTTCGAGTGAAAGAATAGGGCTTCAGGGCTTTTTCCTTTCGGTGACTAAAAAGCCGTAAGAGTGGGAATTGTTCCAAGTTGAAGCTTGTGGAGAAGCAGGCAGAGCAAGAAAATCTCTCACGTTTGGTTCAACGCGTGAGAAGAGTTTAGGAAGTAAATGGGATTCGACAGATTAGGGGAAGAGGCGAATGAGTTTTTTTTTTTTCTTATGTCCAGTTCGTATGGGATTCGGCAGAGTGGTGGAAGAGGGGAATAGGGGAAAGCCAAATCAGACCAAAAAATGAGGGAGGAGCGGGAGTTTTGAGATTTCCGCGAAAAAGAGGGAATGAGAATTTTAAGATTTCAGAAAAAATATTTCCACTACCCACCCAATGTCATTCTAACGTGACATTAGTATATATTTAAATATATATATAATAAACCAGCCAAAATTTCATGAACTTTTAATATATATATATATATATATATAAACATATTATAACATTTATAAAGGCTATTATATACAGGTGACATAACGTTTTCTCAAAAACGCTATAATTAACCGTTATTAAAAGACTGCTCTTTTGTATTGAGTAAATGACTGAGAATGAGATAAAAGAGCAAAAACGTGAAATGCAAGGAAAAGGAACAGAGAACATGAAAAGAGATGATAGAGATTGGTACCTTCTAAAGCAAAATAGCCTGACAAAGTGAAATTCCCCGCAATTGGTAGGAAAGCTAATTAGGAATTAGGGTTAGGGATTTCCATTCAAACTCGAAATTGCTTCAAAAAACTTTCTAAATTTTGACTAAATTTAACTCACATAATGTCTAAGAACATCTAAAATCTTGAATTGTCCAATGAATTCGACATCAAAAAATGATTTTTTTTTTCAATGAGAGAATTTAGAGTAAGGAAAAAAGGGGAAAACCTTTTAACTGACGAATCATTAAAATTGGAGTGTCTTCAATCTTTGATAGAGGGACCAACGAAGGAGTGAGTAGTCACAGGTAAAACAACATCCAACAGAAGTAGTCAAAGGTACAGAGATAAAAGAACAAAGCAATAAATATAGGCAATGAAATGAGACAGTAAGTGATGAAAGATAAAAACAGGGTAGCAGAAGCAATAGATGCAAGGAAGAGAGGTAGAAACACATATCACAAATCTATGCAGAATAGTAATAGTCATAAATAAAGAGTAAAAAGATAAGGATGAACACTAAATAGCTTCTATTAATCAGACACATAGCACTACATAGTCAGTTAACGGAGATAAAAAGACTAAAATTTCCTAATTATATCATAAAATAAATACAATTTCAGACATACAATAATTAAAAACTAATGGTGCTAGAGATAGGAAAATCTAAAGAAAAGTTTTTTTCCTAAATTTATTGGAAATTCCAGATAATATAAACTAAAGTTGTCAAAAATTCAAGATAATAGAAAGAGAGAAAAATCAACAGCTCATTTAATATATCTATAACTAAAGCAGAACAAATCAACCTAGAAAATTGTATGACCAATAGAAACAAGCCAACTCATGGAGGCAATAAATGAAACAGAAAAAATTAAGGTGGCGTTTGGTTCATGGATTCAAATCATGTGATTAGAACTATTTTTGATTTACATGTATTTTTTATGAGAGAAAATATTGTAGCGAACCACGAACCATAATTCGAATCAGGGAACGAATCTAGGTACCAAACAGACTCCAAGAATCATCGATATACGGCATCAAACGAACCAACAGAAAATCCACTCATGCAAATAAAATCCCTACACAAAAAAATTCATCAAAAAAAAAAGGTCAAGTATCCAGAAAAAATTTCAATAAAATAACATCCATTACTAAAAAAAAATAAAAAATCAGAACAAAAAAAAACGTAAATGAAACAAATGAAAAGGCAAGAAAAAAAAATCAGAGACGCGCGGACAAAGAACAGCGAAAAAATCAAACATAAAACCCAAATCAAAACAGGAAAAGAGCCCAAAAAAAACCCCCCAAATCTGCCCCCAAACCCCACCAAAGGAACGAAGACATTAAAGGCACAGAAAGAGAAGAAGCAGATCAACGGTGAAACAGAAAGGGAAAAAACACCAATGCAGTGAAGAAGGCAGAAACTGAGAAAGAAAGTAATAGCAGGGAATCGAAGTGGGAAGAAAAATTAGGGTTAAACCGATTGCAAAGTTACCAAAACCAAGAAAGAGAGCAGATGAAGGGGGTGGAGAAAATAAGGGAATCGAGGAGGAAAGAAAAATTAGGGCTCCACCGACTGCAAAATTACCAAAAAAACAAAACCCAAAAAGCCACTAAAAGAGAAAGAGCGGGGGCAAAACAAGAAAAACAGCCCATCAGAGATGCGCTAAAAAACCAAACCGCCCATGTACCAAACGAAGAAGAGAACAATAAATGAAGGATAAATTCATCACTCTACTGTAGAAGAAAAGTAAAATGGGTCTGCGTAAATAATACCCCGAGCTACCCTTAAGGGGACGTTTGGAAGGGAGATTCGGTCCCTGATTTGAATAATAATTTGTAGCTCATTACAATATTTTTTTTCAAAAAAATACACATAAATCAAAAATAATTCTAATGAACCAAACGTATATATTTATAATATATATCTTTATCTATGTCAATGGTTCTATATAAAAGAAAAAAAAAAGAAAAAAAAAAACGGTGACAGTTAACTTTCTTTTTCTTTCTCTTTTTCCCTTAACTTTCTTTTTGTTTATTTGCATTCTTATGCGTCATTTATGTCCATGTTCCATCGGTTTTTTTGGGTCCCCCACACGTTACATCTGGGGTCAACATGGCACTATCCACATGTTTTATACTTTTATTTATTTATTCCTCCTTATTATCTTTGTCTCTTTCTTGACTAATTCTTATTTCATATTTAAATTCTTGATACAACTCAACATCAATTTGAAGAAAATCTCTTGAATATCAAATTGTCATTGAATGATAATTAAAGATCAGTCAAAATTTTACACTTCATAATTCATGTCTTACCAATATCAACTAAAGTAAATTAACAAGCTAAAATAAATATAAAATTCAATTATTATCTACTTTAAGTTATAATTATTTAATTACTTTAGAATTACGACATTATATGTCTATTCATAACGTTCGTTACACACCATGGATACTCAGAAATCCAACTAGATGGACGAACCAAGCAACCAACTCAGGCAGAAGAAGTTCTAAACTGGCAGACTCAAAATGTCAAGGCACAAAACCAGGTCCTACAGAAGATCGAGACAAAGGTTGACAAAGTCATAGCTCAAGCCAGTCTTGCTAACAAAAGACTTGACAGACTCAGTACAGAAGTATGGAGGATGTATGAAGGTCTTCAGTCAAAGATCAAACGCTTAGATTCTGACCTAAGAAGTCTGATTGATCAGAGTTATTTCGGTCCAGAATTTGACAGAAAAGAAGCAAAGATCCAGAGACTGAAAGCTGAACTCAAACAGATTGATGACGACATGAAAAGAAAGGAAAGAATGATGTTTGAATCTCCTTCCTATCCACTTCCACCATTTGGTCCGTCTCTATTCGCATCATACTCATACCCCTCTAAACCTGATTACTCGAGAGCTTTTAAGATGACCCATGAGATTTTTAAAGATCCAATATGGTCAAAACCTTCTGCCTCAAAGCCATCCGCTTCGAAGCCTACTGCACCAACCAGGCCAACCTCTTCAAAACCAAAAAACACCAGGATGAGTATCTCCTCCTCCGAAGAAGATGAACCTGTCCCTCAAAAGGCTAGGCCCACGACATATGAGAAAAAGAAAACTCCAGAATACCCTCATGTCCTGCTTATATGGCTCTCTCCTCCAAACCACAAGTGTTCTCAGAGCCAACCTCGGCGACTGATTCCAAACCAGAGTCGTTTGACTCCTCAGACAGCCCATCTGAAACGGGCTCTATCTCAAAAGAATCCGAGGAAACAGAAGACACCATGGACATCACACAGCTACTAACGGCTACCTCTATAGGGTCCAATGATCATTAGGCCCGGACAGAAATGGGAGATTCTACAAGAGAAACTAGGGAGACTTCTCCCATAGTTGAGGAACCACCTGACACACAGCGTCAATCAGAAGGAACATTCTCCAAGCCAGCAGTCGGCCCATGGTTTACTTTTGATAATGTCTCTCCAAACCAATGGAGAGAAAATATGAATGAATTTAGAGCATGGATCGATCTCTAGATGACAAAACCTGGAATTGAACTCCAGACTATCCTTAGAGAGTTTGCCTCCAGATTCACAGGAACTCTCAGAGACTGGTTCCAAAGCCTTAGAGGATACAGACAACTCCAATTCATCAAAGCAGACACTGCAGCAGGATTACTTGGACTCATATACCAAGAGTTCATCGGAGATTATAACCTCATTGACAAACAGATGCGTCAAGAGTACTTTGAAATGAAATGTTGATCCCTGAAAAGGAAGGACATTGAGTTTCATTATCAAAGGATGTCACGGCAGTACTATATGCTGATTGGGTTCAATAACCCTAACCTCCGACAAGTGTACCTGTCATCACTACCACAGGAGCTACAACCCGAACTCCAGAGATCCCTCATTGCCACAAAAAAGGAAATGAAGGATATCTCCATTGGAGAAATTCATCAATTGGCATTGGCAGCTCTCAACAAACTCTGTGAGATGCAACAACTATTCTCCCCCATGATGAAGGA